AATTAATTTCAGAGAGAGGAAGGGAGAGGGAGTGGGAGAGAGAGAAAGAGAAACATCAGTGATGAGAAAGAGAATCATCAATCGGCTACTTCCTGCACACCCCCTCCTGGGGATTGAGTCCACAACCTGGGCTTGTGCCCTGATCAGGAATCAAACCCTGACCTTCTAGTTCACAGGTCGATGCTCAACCACTGAGTTACACTGGCCAGGCCATTTCCTACACTTTTATATCTAAAACACCACATTTGGACCTGACTGACATATCATAGGTCATAGTTGGTCTTTGGGTAGTGTTTCTGCAAACTTAAGCAATAATCTCCAAGTACTGTTCTCTCAGCTCAGAGCAACATTCATACTTTGTGCAAGTGAAGAATATTCCTGCCAGAGACTCTTAGCTCCATTCTGATTTAATGGGAAACATATTGATCCAAGGACCAGAAATGAGGATAGGAAGTCTCTGTGAGGTTTGGTGGACTGTTTTTAGGGTGACATCCAGGAATTCAAGCGAGAAATCTTAGGTGCGGTTGTGATTAAAAGTAAATATTCAAGAACCAGACTTTTGTTCTATATTTTAAACAATTAAGTTTCCACTTAAATATTAGGAACTAACATACCTTTGATATGGTAAACTTGTAAACTTGAATCCCTTTCTTTCGCTTTAGTTAGTACTTCCGTTTTCTTAAGTCATTTAGGTATTTGAGCATATTAGTTCATATCTTTATAAAACGTTAATCTTTGTAAAATGTAACTTCTGTGGCCATTCAAGCCCCGAGCACTGTGTTCAACCAGAGCAGAACCTGAAACAATGAGCCACTTTGATCTGTTCAAAAATTACAGAAGATTAAGTGCTGCTTTTTGGTAATAAAGATTTTCTTTTTTGCAGCTACTGTCCCTTTGGGGGATAGGGTTTGACTGCCTAAAGGCTAGAAACACATTTTTAGACAAAAGGTGTAACTTAAGCAAATTAATTCATCTGGTTCTATAGCTAAGAAATCAAAACTATATCACATACCATAAACAAATGTGTTATTTTTTAGTACTTGAATTGTATATGAATATTTTGGCTTCTATATACTTTTCAATCTCTTCTTTCAGTAATTTTCTGGTTATTCTGTACCATTTAAAAGTCTCTTTCTATAAAATAGGACATTAGTCTTCATAAAATTCTAGCATTTTCCCCCCTACATACTACTATTGTTCTTACAAAAACAAAAATATTTTGCTAACTATATGAAATCATTTATGTGCTTGAAGAATACCTTTTAAGTTGACAAGTCTGGGAGATAAAATAGGATTGCTTCTGAAAGGTTTTGGGGGAAATGTGGTGCCTGAGCGTGCCTTTGGCGTTGTAGGCTGTCTGGTCCTAGTGGATGCAGATCTGTTTTGTTGCCCAGAGTCTTTCCTGCTACTTCTGCTACCACCTCTGCTGCCATCTCTACCACTGAGTGACAGCCAGCAGTGGCACCAAGAGACACTTTAACCCCTGTTTCAGAATTCCCAGAAGGCAAAGCTTTGCTTAGTGAGTTGTCTTTTGTTTAGGTATTTGTGTGTTCCGCACTCAGCCATTCCTCACCACCCCTCCTTCATGGGCAAGCGTGATGTTCTCAACCCAGTATCGTGTCTGCTCTCGAGCTGTTACAAAGACACCCTCGCAACGGCAGTCACTGGAATCTTCTTGCTCGGATTACTCTTTCCCTCTCAGTGGTGGAATATTAATGGTGTCACATGGATATCTTTGGAGACTTGGTGAGGGCAGGAAAACCATCTTGTATTGCTGGTTTAAGATCCAAAGCAATGGCTTACGATAGAGGTTTGCCTTCTGCCCGTGTAGAAGCCCCAAGGCTGGCATTCCAGGGCTGGTGTGGTGGTTCTGTTAGTAAGAGGCTCTCTGGACCCGTTTGCTTTTTGTTTTGCTCTTTTAGCAAGTTGGCTGTCATCCTTAAGGTTCCCTCAAGGTCATGAATAGCTGCCGAAGCTCCAGCCATCTCCACCAAGTTCTTGGCATCGGGGAGGAGGACGAGGAAGGGGAATGAGCATGCCCAGCCTCCTATTCAGCATTTTTCTGGGAGTCCCACTCAACAGGCTTTACTTCTGTACATTGGCCACTTCTGTAATCAAGGCTGGGAAATATGGTTTTATAGCTGGGGTGTTGCTGTACCTGACCGTAGGGGTTTGGCTATGGAGGAAGTGACTTTGAGGAGGCATCTGTCGGTTTCTGCCACACCTTCGGTTCAATGTCCATCTGACATGTTCACCAAGGCATGTTTAACAAATGGTTATGAGGCCTGCTTAGATAAATGTATGGCTAGTAATCTAGCTTTACATAAAGTTTAGATATGTTCATATATATGTTACATATATGCTATGGTATAAATTAGAGACAAAAGAAAGGTGATGTATGATAAAATGTGTTTCAGTCTATAGATGCCTAAGTACATGCAACAATAGAAGAGAAAAAAAAAACGAGATATTCATGCTCTGGCCATAAATATAACTTTCAGTCTATAAATGCCTAAGTACATGCAACAATAGAAGAGAAAAAAACGAGATATTCATGCTCTGGCCATAAATATAAAGCCATCGTGAATATGGCAACTGCAGATGCAGACTCGGCATGAGTTAGGTTTGGTGACTCCAATACTAGACTGCTGTTACCTGCTGATATTTTGAAATGGTAAGCAACTCTTGTAAAGTTCCAAAGAAAAGCAGGCCTTGCTTTGATTCACATGGTAACTGCATTCCCAGAAAAATCAGCGACTGTTAGAGGAGGCAAGAAAAAGAGAGCAGTAACTCCATGTTTATATGTTAAATAGCGCCCAGCTCAGGTAATCACCAAAAGCAGGACACTTCGTGTTGAAGTAACATCTTGCCTCTGACTCCCTGGCAGTCAGCCCCGCCCGGCACTCACAGGGCCTCCCCTGCTCACAGTCACAATCAGAAATGCCCGTGCAGACTCCAGCGACTTCTGGGGCTGTCCCTGCTTTAGAAGATGCTCATTTGCACTATTTAGCTTTTGCACATGCCTGACCCTGCTAGTGGTTCAGTTGGTTCTTTTCCTACCTGTTTTCTTTGGTTACGTCGGCTTGGCTTGTTTTCGCTCAAGTGTTGCCATCTTGATGTATTAGATCAATTTTAATCTATGACGGGCAGCCTTCATAAGCCACAGTTAGCACTTCCAACAAAGATCTCAAAATCTGGTATGAGGGGGAAAAAGTTACATTCCAACATGATTTACCATTTTAAAAGATTAAAAGAAGAGATTAGAAAATTCCACTGGCCTCCAGGTTTTGGTTGCTAGAGGCTCCCTGTGTTAGCCTGTCCCGTTCACCCACCCCTCCTCCTCGCCCTCTTGTGTTGTAACCAGGAATCCAAGGAGGTTTCAGATTCGGAGGTGTCTGAGCTCCAAGGGCTCCGAGATGAAGCCTTACTTTAAGAAGCCCCCTGAGTCACACAGCCGGTTCCTCTACGACTCCTTTTTGTTGTCTGATCGGACATGTTTTCCTTCTATGACATCTGGCTTGGCTTAATCATCCCTCAGTCTTAAGACTCACTTAAAAATGAAAAACACATCATGCTTTTCTTTTCATATTCCGCCCTCGTCTTTTCTTACTTCTTTGGTTAGTCTGAATGCTTTTCATTTCATTGTATATTCCATAGTTCACTGTGCTAATACAGCACAGAAGTCTTTTCCCAAAGCTGATGACATTTTAATTAACATTACTTTTTAAAGCAAATGAACCAAATTAAATGGCATTTTAAAATTTTCTCTTTATTTCGTGAAGTAAAATTGCTATCCAACTATGTAAGAAAGTTTATGTACATACTCCTTGCTTAGTGCTAAATTATTGATTTAAAAAAACTGAGGTTTCAAGATTCAACATTAAAATTTGCTCTTGTGATTGTTTTTCTCTCTAACAATTACCACTTTTACATGTTAATTTGAGGATTTCCCAGCAATGCAATTTTATACCCGCTGACTTATGTCACAAGGCAAAACACTGTGTGTGTTCATTAAGAACCGCGTTTACAGTGTTTCATGGTAACAGGTGTTCTTTTAACTCAGTGTGTTACCACATTTGGTTCTGTAGTGCCATTGGATAACTGATGGAGTTGTTCTTCTTTCATTTTGTTCATTATAAAATATGCCTTTGAGTAAAACCGTGGCTCACGTTTGTGTGCGAGCGCGTGTGCACATGGCTGTGTGCGCACGTGCGTCGAGGACAGTGTGCCGCACGGCCGGGCAGACTTCGAGTGCCGAGCAGTCACTGGTTCTCATCGCTGTCTGTTCTGGGCAGGTGAGCCAGGATGGGAAGTCGCTGCTCGACAAGCTCCAGCGGCCCCTGACCCCCGGCAGCTCCGATTCCCTGACAGCCTCGGCCAACTACTCCAAGGCCGTGCACCACGTGCTTGACGTCATCCACGAGGTGCTGCACCACCAGCGGCAGCTGGAGAACATCTGGCAGCACCGCAAGGTGCGGCTCCACCAGCGGCTGCAGCTGTGCGTTTTCCAGCAGGACGTCCAGCAGGTGAGTTGCCCGCGGCGTTCCTCCTCATAGGGGCTGGTCGTGCTAAACCGAGAGTTAGGTGAGTGGGTCCTCGTACTGGGCTACGTGCTGATGGAGCGAGTAGGAGATGATGATGGGAGAAAACCAAATTCACAGTCACACACACGCAGCTTCTGAGATCATCTGCTCAGGCGGTTTTCAGCCGCTAACTCCCACGTATGCGCGGAGCATGTGAGATGATGCTGGGCCTTCATGGAGACTCTTGAGTTTTGTTCTTGAGACAGGGCATTCGCAGTTAAAGTTATTTGTGAGAATAACGCAAAGGTGCTCATACCAGGTGTTGTTACAGTGTAAGGTTTCTCTGCTCTTCCTCTGCTTCAGCTCTAAGCTGGTCGCACTTCTTTTCCACCTGGGGGCCTGTGGGGCACAGTAGGTGCTTAATAAATGGCTGCCTAATGAATGAAAAGTGGACTTTTGTGACTCTCATTTCTAAGCAGTTGATATCCCTTTGATGTTGTTATAAAAATTAGAGTAAGCCCAGTCCCCATACTGTTTTTCTGCTTAGTATGGAATAAGGAAGGCTGTCCTGCGACCTGGGTTTTGAGGATTAAAACAATGGGGGCCTATAAAATATGACTTAGCTTTAGGGATAAATAAGATACTAGTTGTGTCCTTGCTCTAAAATAGAGGGTGTGAATGAGGTGTCAGCTCTGGGCTGAGGAATTCTGGGGGGTGCAGGGTAGCCCAGGCATCCAGGGGAGTTGGCAGGAAGCCACAGTGATAGACCCAACCAGCTCCCCCTGGGCGTCCAGGAGCCGTGCTGTGCTCAGACTTGCAGGAGCTCAGATTTCACTCTCCCTGCGGATCACCTGAAGGTGAGTGGGTTTCCTCCCAATGGGCTGAGAGTGCGGAGACTCGCGCTGTGTTCTTTGAACACACAGATTCTCCACGTTACTCCGCACCCTTCTTCGCACGACGGGAATCGGGTGAGTTCACAGTTCTCTTCGTTGTGCTGTAATTTTTAATTTTCACACACTATGCTTTGCTTCTACTTACGATCTTTGAGCTCTCTGGAGTCCCCCATGCACAATGCCTCGGGAATCATGGGTCGATGTGAGTCATGCTTCCTTACAACAGTGTTAGTCCAGGAAGATAATTGCTGGGGAACAACACAGAACGGGGAGTGGGGGGAGGAGCCAGCGGCAGGAGTCCCTGTGAGAGCTGAAATGGTGAGGTTGAAAACGGGAGTGCTAGTTTTTCTGAATTGTCCGAAAACGTTCAACAATGAAATGGTTATAGTTTAAATGTAATTATGAAAGGATTTTCCTGCCCACCTCTCTGGCTCTCGGATCAAGTGTTCATTACACACCCGTGGACCCACACACTTTCTGGACGTGTGTCTGCAGCAGCAACAGGCCCCCTCTGTCCCCACCTCTGGGGCTCCCCGGGGCCCCAGTCCCATAAGAATAAGCCACTGGACTGTTTATGTCCCAGGGAGGCAGGGGGAAAGGCAGGCCGTGGGGATAGGGAGGAGTCTAGTCTGATTTGGCGCCAAGTTCTTAATGTGCTTGAATTTGAAAAAGGCAAACATTAATTTTTGTGTTTGGAAGGTAATTATGGCAACAATGAGGCCAGTACTTTCAGCTAGCTTTTTTCTCGAGCAGTCGGTTGGGTGGGGTGTCAGCAGGAGAAAGTTCTGCAGAACATGGAATGCTTGCAGCTCCTGCTAGTCTTCCATCAGAAGCAGGTGAGTGCTCTGGAAGCGAAAGGTTTCGTTGATTAAATGTCCGGGAAAGGTTTGGACTTGTCATGCAAACAGGAAAATTGCTGTGTAGGCTTGACTTGTGAAGTCGGGAGCGAAGTTGATAAGACGAAGCAGTCTTTTACCTTGAAAGAGTACATAGGATGTCAGCACCAAAATTGTGTTTCTGAAACTCAAGACATTATAACACATGGAAAGTTTTGCCATACTGAGCACGGAGTAGGAGAGGTAAGCTGAGAATAAGTGAAAAAATGTAGTACTTTAGAAAGACGTTGTCAGTAGAAGGTAAATTTGTAAAGACAAAAACAATCAAAACCCACAAACATATAATAAGCCGACTAGAGCTGCCTGTGAGTTTCTGTTTGTTTGTTTTGGATGAGGAGGAGCATCTGTAAATACTGCTGAGACAAAGAGAAAAGCAGCTCACCCCCCAGTAGGTGTGGAATGATGACATTTTAATGAAAACAAGCCTCCACCTGGGACAGTATGTGTCTGTGAAAAAATCCTTGGAAGAACAGACACCGGACTGTTGTTAACAGAGCACCCCCAAGGACGGGACTGGTGGGAACATGGCAGGGGGCATTTGATTTTTAAAGCATGAGTAATTTTGCTTTAGTGGTTAACAAGCAAAGGCAATTCTGTGATTTCTGTGTGGAAGGTATTTCGGATGGAGTCATGCTGTGGTGTGGGGGGCCGGTGAAGCTTAGCATTTGTCCAAATCAAAGGATGGGGTAGGGGAGTGGGAGGTCTTGCTGAAGACTTGCCCCTACATATGGTAGCTACTAACCTAGGTTAACCTTTGTCATGAATTTCAAAATAGAATCAGTACTCTCTGTGCCATATTCCAGATGATCAAATAGCATGCATTCCCACTGCCTTCTGTCTACATTCGAGCAGCCCTCGGTTGGGTGTTTGGTTGGCTCTGCAAATGGTTGGGCTACTGCCGAGCAGTGGTTTTTGTTGAGAATATGCTTTATTTCACTAGAGCGAGATAATGTATGTGTGTCGTACTCCTTCAAATGGGATGATTGTTGGGAAGCAGGATGCTGTCAAACCCGTTTTCCTACTCACTCGTCCAGCCCGCCTGCCCCTGGGGTGGGTGGGATCTAGTCACTCCAGCAGGTGGTGTGAGGTGACCCACACTATGCAGGCTGGCCTCCCCAGGGGAAGCCCCTCAGAAAGGGAGACCTTCCCCTAAAAAACCTCTCACTCTCCTTGCAGGACTTCGTGTGGGCGGGTCACCCTTGCTGAGTTAGCTCCTGGAAGAACTTTCTCCAGGTTCATGTTGGGCCATTAATGACTATTCTGAAAGTAGCAATTGCTGGGCACCAGGAAAGTCTTCATGGGAGAGGCAGGGTTTGAGCTGATCTATGGAAGATGGGTAAAAGGTCAGTAGGTTGAGGAATGGGCAGTGAGAATTGTAAAGGATTGCAGAGGCCGGGCCTGATCAGAGAGCAGCAGGTGGCCCTGTGTGTAGAGGTGGGGAGGCATGAGCTGGGTCTGGTGCGGGAAAGGCGACCTCCGCCATGAAGGCTCAGGACCTGTTTCTGTAAGATTAGGACACCATTGCAAAGGTTGCTCTGGTTGAATGTGATGAGCCAGACTCCGTGCGAGTCATGGAGAAGTCCCAGCAGAGATGTAAGGTCCACAGAGGCAGTGATCTGGGTGTTTTTATTCCTGGTGTTTCCCAAGTGTCTGCGGTAGTAGATGCTCAGTATTTGTTGAGTGAGTTAATGAAGAAATTTAAGGAATTTGCTAAAAGATTCTTTTGGGCTAAACATTTCTTCATTTATTTTGGAATCAAGTAATCCAACTAGGAGATCTGCCTGAAGAAACCGGAGATTTGATGGATGTTGGGGAGTTAGGGGTGGCTGAGAAAGGAAGTGATAGTTTTAGTTCATGGGAATTTTGCAAGTGTGATGAGATCTTTAAAAATTAAAGATTTTGATACTTGAATGCAAAAATTAGGGTCTTAAATGCCAAGTTCTAAAAGAGGGAGAGAAGTCAGGAAATGCCAAAGAGGCAGAGAAGTGGCTTTCAGGTCTACAGAGAAGCAACTTCACAGGTTCACCTTGGGTCCTCGGCTGCTGACCTTTGCCAGTAGAAGCCATCTCTTCGTGATGCCTGACTTAAGGCTATATCTACGTTGGCACCACATACTTGCTCTTAATGCTCATGAAGTCAGAAAGGTGGGTTTTCTGCATCCCATTCATCAGAATCCTTCTATAACCTTAGCAGTTTAACATTCTCTTCTGTTTACATGCCCCTGCTCACAGTTCTGATTGTGGCTCTTGTAAGAATGATTTAGAGCAGCGGTTCTCAACCTGTGGGTCTCGACCCCTTTGGGGGTCAAACGACCCTTTCACAGGGGTCGCCTAAGACCATCAGAAAACACATATATAATTACCTATTGTTTTTGTGATTAATCACTATGCTTTAATTATGTTCAATTTGTAACAATGAAAATACATCCTGCATATCAGATATTTACATTACGATTCATAACAGTAGCAAAATTTGTTATGAAGTAGCAATGAAAATCATTTTATGGTTGGGGGTCACCACAACATGAGGAACTGTATTAAAGGGTCACGGCATTAGGAAGGTTGAGAACCACTGGTTTAGAGGGTTGCTATCTTTTCTGAGAGTTTCTTGGTTTGAATTCGGAAATGCTGGAGGGCAAGTGTTTGGGATGAGTAGCCTGCTGAGAGCAGATAGAGGCTGACCAATGGTCTTCCTGGCGTGTAGAGCCACAGCTTTACTTACCTTTTGTCCTAGTGAACCCAGAAGAGACATGACTGTCAGTAATCCTAGTAACCACAGCTGAAAGTTCACCGGAGGGAGTTAAAAAGGTGGGAAAATGGATACAATACAAGAACACAAGTGTGGGAGCTGGCAGTGTAGGCAGTGGAACTGGAAGCAGGAACCAGGGGACTGGTGTGAATCGGAAGTGAGCGGGCACTTGAGGCCCTCGAGCCCTTGAGGATGCAGGTGCTCCGGATCCAGGACGATAAGGAGTGGGCAGAGCCGAGAGCAACCCCAGGCAGCTGGAGCCTCCCTTTTATTGCCAGAGCTCCTAAGGGGAAAGTGCCCGGGTGGGCTGACAGGGAAGTGTGCATCCATGTGTGTATGCATACCTGAGTGTGTGTATATATTTATATAGTCAGTAAGTGGACTTAATCTATACACAGTAACTTTAGTTCCCCAGATAACAGTATCTGGACATAGGAAGATTTTTCTTGGACAACTTTGGACTATT